TTAAACATACCGTAACACTGGAGTAAAAAAAAAGATTGTTTATTTACGTATGGATAATCACCTTATGGTTAATATCTATGATATGTTTTCTAATATAATTACTTTTAATTTATTCTTAGCAAAGACTGTGCCATCAAGACATTGTTGGCCGATTCTGGTTTTCAGATGAATACATTAGAGTTTCTTATGAGCGGCGAAGGACCCAGGGCTGCGACTGTCAGGGGTCAAAGACGATTTGATTCAAATTTCTCATTTAAGAAATGTAAGTGAAATATTTGATGTTATTCTATTGATCAGCCAATGTAGATATTCTGATTCTATTCTATTCTATATCAATAATTTTTGATGTTTTCTAAAACATCTTAAACTGTATGTATGTCTAGATTGTTTTATTAAGTTTGAAAAAATATTTTCAGTTTTATAAACGAGTTCATATTATATTTTAATTTTAAATTATAATTTTCTGACCATATATTACAGATGAAGAAGTTAATGAAGAAGAAGTGAAGAAAGTGGAAGATATGATTGAGTCTGTTCAGTCACAGTATAAAATAGCCCCTCCACCACCCCAGGTAAGAATTGTACTTGTTTCAGAATTCAATATTTTTACTGTGACTACTCATTATAACTTAAAACTTCAAAATTTGTAGTATTTTAGATGTTTTTTGCCAATAATGGAGATAACATATGGTATTGCTATTAATTTTTTTTTGAGTACATAGTTTTGAGAAAAAATATCAATACTGCATTGGAACATGACATGACCCATTTAGGTACTTGTCTGCTACACTGCTTAAATGTTTCTTTTTTCAAGCGACTTCTTCTGAAAACTGTTAACTTTAATCACTTTTATACTTGGTACACATGTTGCTTGTGTGGACCTCTACGAGATTTAATCATTTTGTGACGATATCTTCAATTCTCTATTTTTAATGAATATTTTTGTCAGTTTTGGTGAAAGTTTTTGACTTCTTCTTGAGAACTGCTACATTTGCTTTCAAATTACATTTCACAACAATATCTTGAATTTGCCAATTTCAGCGACATTATTTCAACGTCAGATTTCCACATTAATTTAACATCTGATTCATAATAATTCCCTTTGTCACAGTATGTATTTAGTATCTCATTTGTTGCTGTATAGATGACAACACTGTATTGCCAATGCCAATGCATTAATAATATTTATTTCAGACACCAGCAGATGAAGAAGTTTGTACAATATGTTATGCAAGACCCCAAGTCAAGATATTTCAACCATGTGGACACAAATCTTGCAGGTCAGTGTACTCAGGAAGTGTATACACTTTTATAAATGTCATGTTAAAAACATTTAGCACTATTAGATACGATTGCATTTGATCTACTGAAAATTGCGCCGTGCAAAACAAACATTTTTGGTTCACATAAAGATATACAGGTGTTCCTGAACCACCTCTGTTGACACTAAATCATCTAGGAATTGTGTATATACTGACCACTTGATCAACCTATACCTATATAAATAGATTGACAGTTGCATCATTCTTTCCACACTGTGATATAAGAGTAGCTCACATGTGCTTCTATTGGAGAGGTACTTCTCATTGGGCAAAAGGAATAATTTGAGTTTTATTATTAGGCATCATTTCAAAAAAAGTCCAAAGTCAGGGACTATTAATTTAGGTTCCATTTGTGTGCTTGTCTTTCCAGAGACATTTCCCAACCATGTATTAACACATTCAAACATAAAGAACAAGCTACATTATGCACATTGATTTTCAGTATCATTTGATCAAATATGGCTGACTGGTGGCCATTTTGGTTCTCAAATTACCTAAATTTTGATACATATTTAAACATTTCTTGGAGCTAGATGAGTGCAAATTTGCTTGGAACCTCCAGTAATTGCATCAAAAACATTCAATTACCGATACATGGAGATGATAGAGAAATCACGAATGACATATTTTAATGAAATTCAATACTCTTTCATAAGCTTGTCATACCTTTCATCACTTATCACTGCAGTATATACATTGCATGTTCACTATCACTGATTTGTTCTTATATTTGTGTATCTACTCTAGCTCCTGTGTAGAACAACATCTGATGAATGACAAGAACTGCTTTTTCTGCAAAACAGAAATTAAGAAAGTCAAAGACATACCTCTCAAATTATTTCTCTGAGTGTACGTGAATTGAATCACTGCTTTTTAAATCAATATGTGCTTTTTAATAATAATAATTATTAATATGTAGTATATAGTTCAGCTTAATTGGATTGGGGGAGCATTCTCCCATATATGCATATTAAATTACAATAAATAAATGTCAATGAATATTTACATTTTTTTTTGCAATCAACTAAGATGTCTCTTTCTAAGTGTAGTTTATGGATGTTTGTGAGTTGTAGCTGCTTTTAAGGGAGTGTAATTAATTACATAATAGGTACAATGTATTATGAGCTTGCAATAACTGATTGTAAAGTGTAATTAAGGCGGTACTGCTGCTGTTTTCATCCCCCCAATGGGAGAAAAATTGTCTAGATCTGAAATTATTGCTACCTTTAATAACTGAAGGTTTAGTACATCATGGTACTCCCATGATGTACTAATGTGGGTAATAGAGTGATTATACTTGTACATGTAGCTCCCTGTTTAGAAAGACAAACAAGTGTTTGTACCTACATGTAAGTATTAGTGATTCCTGATGCCAATACAGTTTTGTCTTTCTCAGTAGGAAGTCATGTACATAGGAAATATACCAAGTAGTACCACCAATATGTAGTGCTTTATTGACCACTTTTTTAACCCAAAATGTTTTTGTTTATTTTTAGTTTTTCTGGTAATTCTGGATCAAATTCACATAATTTCCCATTTCCCATAGGGCTTGATTAAAATTGTTGAAAGAAATATGGAAATAAAAACATGTGTTATCAGCGTTTGTGATAATCAGTGTTATTCCATGATACTATGGGCAATTCTGTAGTTGTCACATTTAATTTTTTTTTTTTCCTCAGATGGTACATGTTCTCATGACACATTTTCCTCATGGTTTATATTTTTGTCTCTAGTTTTTTACATAAGATTTAAATTGTCTCTGAAAATTGTAAGGAATTACAAGTGAAAATTCGAACCTGTTTTCATATTAAACATTTGAGTACATTATCTCCAATATAAAGGGAATAAATTGCTTCAGGTCTCTCTCTCTCAAGTCCTACATAAATGAGTAATTGTCTCATACTTTCTAAACTGATGAAAAGTTTCTGCCCCACGTAGATATTTTTTGGTGAAAATACAGTAGATATGTGTGTTAGCTATTGCATGTTAACCTACAATCGGTTATTCTGAGCACATGTTATTATTTTATTACCTTTAAAATAAAGATAAAATTGAAATATCATTTACAATTTAATTATTGTAGTTCAAGTACATGTATGAAGTAATTCATTGGAGCATTCATAAAATAGTTTTTTTTACAAAAGGGCTGAATGGATTATACAAATGTTGAATACATATTCAAACAATTCTAGAGAAGTGTGATAAGTGCCACTTTCCATGCAACAATTTTTTTAGTTTCGTGTATAACAGTATTTTTATGTGCATTGTGTACCAATTCGACACATGTGACCCATATCACAAAAAGAGGTTGGCATGGTGATAGTGATGCTTTGTTTAAATCACACCTTCTGTATGAAACACTCTATATGATTTCAGCTAGTGACAAGGCTTCACAAGGTATTTATTTTTAATTACATCAGTTTCAGTCTATTACAGAAAATGTACCTATACAATGTAGAATTGCTTACAAATCTTGATGTTTTTATTGAAAATAAAAAATGTGATAAAAATGGCTGAAATACAGTAGTAGATGTGAAAAGGTTTCCTTTGCAAAGTTTGTATAAATATTCATGAGCTGAAAATTTGCATATCCTATGGTCCAGTGGGTTGAATGCTGTCTGCACACAATCAAACACACTGACGCTGCTGTAGGCATCCACAACAATCCAGGTAATGAATTCATTGATAGTCCTAGTACCAACTCAGTCATCTCAAGATATTACAAAAAGTTGCATTATGAAAATAGAAAATATTAATAAGGAGCAAACAATAGTTTTCCTTCTGTCAAAGGTCATCTGTATATTATGCAAATATACTAGTAGTTGTTCTTTAATAAGTCATTCCAGAAATAGTACTAGTTCCATAGTCAGTAGATCAAGGTATAATCTTTGAACTCCTGTGGAGTAATAACAATTTAAAAATGCATAGAGTAGAGCTCATTACATAAATGCATATTGACAGTATATGTATAATCTATTTCTTGTGTGTATTTCATATACACACAAATTTTCAGCAATTTTATCTTGGGCTTCCTTTACTTTTGCAATGCAGTTTTATATCCTAGTTTTTTGTACATGTATACCTTAGTCGTGTTATCATTGCATTTTGTAAGTCCTACATATTGCCTGTACCAATTATTCAACTCAATGTCAACCAATCTAGTACTACTAATGCATTCCACTCTAACATGCACATTTGCTGTTCTTCTTTATATTTCATCAGCAAGGACACATTTTGTTGTCATTTGGGAAAGTTTGAACAATAATAAACCAAATTATTGTGTCACACATACAAGAACTATACTGGGGTTCTTATTTTTACCATGTGCAAGGCTGCAATGCTATGTTTGAATTCAGCAGATTTAAAGATATACATGTATCGGTAATAGACGAGTTGCCTGGTTACATATAGCACATGGGTGGTGGTGGATGACGTTTCTAATAACTGGTCATTCTTTATAAAAACACATTTTAAAATAGGACATCTTTAGCGATTGACCCTCGGTGACATCTTACAAAGCATTGTGAAAATGTCGCAAATCATATTTTGTTGGGTTTATATTTTGTAAGAATGAAAAATACTATCATATGTTACGACCATTTCAAAAACTTTCAAAAGATGCTTACAATACAAATATTCGCTCTATCACTGTTCATAGTAGTTCATGCACTTAATGGAAGAAATACAGTAAATAAACTAACAGACTAATTTGTGATCGATATTTGGCGAGATATGTTTCTAAAGATCTATTTGACGGAATTAGTTTAGACACTGTTCATAGTAAAATATGGATGCTATAAAACAGGATCTGAAACATCACAAAACAAAGACAGTCCCTAACAGGACTACAGTTCTTGTTGCATTTGGCATTTTTACCTCTACAATGATTTTTTAGATGCTACATGATACAGTATTAAACTGATTATTCAAGATGCCGACCAATCGTGTTGTAACACGTCTGCATGATTAGAGTGCCCTCACAAAAACATCGAGATGATTTTTAGTTAATTAGCTTTCAACAAATTTATTTACAACTTTGAACGTTGATCACAAGAGTTGAGACAGCCTAAATGAATCATGTCACATTTACAACTCAACTATTGAAGATTTTGCGACAGTTCCGTGCATGCTTCAAACCAATCGTGCGACAGAACGCAAGGTTACGATTACACAAGCAGAAGTGAGAAATTTTCAAAGAAAGATCAATAACCCAAGACAAACACTAATCAGTTCTTTCACAGAATTATTTTGCATGCCATTTCAATGAATTTGTGATCATATTGCAATTAGCATGACTTTAAATTAGGATATTCATTGCATATCAGTTTTGCATAATCTTCCCTCACACACTAGACACAGATAGAAATAATTTCTACAACACAGGCAGTATTGATGTTCATATGCTCTTTATTTCCCCATCCATACATTCTTAAAAACATTATGTAATTGATTCCCTTCATCTCAAAATCTGACTGGCCAAGAGCAATTAAAATCTTCCCACCCCTTTATTATAGCCTGGGAAACACATTTCTCATCTATTCTGAGATTTGGACGATATCACATATTACATGGTGTTTAACATTATGAGCATCTGACCAATGCAAATATGGAATGTACTGGATGAATGACTTCCGAGTGTCAGCACTGCAATGATTACCTCAGAATATTGTAAATGTTCCAGGCCCTTCCCCATTGGTGGTTCATAAGAACACCAATGCTCCCTCTTCAACTCACAAAACCCCTCATAACATTGTATTTGATCCTAAAATGTCACTACTCTCACCCTGAACTATTACAATCATTTGTAACTTAATAAAATAAAATAAACTTATTTTTTTATATTACACTCGCTCTCTGATTTTCAACATGGTCAGCTCTTAGATAAAATAGCGACCAACTAACATGGCATTTTAGGATTGACAATCCTACTGTATTAGTACAAGAAGGTTAGACTGAACTTGAAATAAAGCACTTTGGGATGGTATTAGTATGATTAAATCAAAAAGGTATACCATAAATTCATTGTTTGTTTTATGAAGTAGCACTTATATCAGAGTTGTGCTTCTGAAATATGAAATACACTAATCCCGTGACAAATTCTTCTGAGCTAAACCTACATAAACAAACACAATGAAATTACTTTTTCCCTGTTGCTCACAACATGTTATAAAACTTTGTCTTCTCCCATGTATCCAAGTTTCAAAAGATGCACATGTGGTCATAGTTACAAGTCCAGCAAATGACAGATCAATTTAGATGGAAATTAAAGACCAATTCATTATGACTTTTATCCCTGTCACTGCTACACAATTTCATAATATTAAAGATGTTTCCAGGAAACAAGACGATAATACTAATAAGAAATAATACTAGAACTATCTGCAGCTCCACCCACCCACCCATGCATACACCAATCCCTGAATGACGAACCCTGTACTTCATCTCTTTAAAAATTATCGATACAATTACGATGTAAAAACCATCGCTATATACATGTCCATAATATGAAATGATATTCATCAATATACAATGTAATAGATTTTATAGATTTGAAAAAATTGTGGTAATCACAAAAAGTTGATAATTTGAAAAACAAATTTCACATCACCATGGAAACTACATGATAATTTGAGGATCTGCTACAGAACTGCCAATAGACTTATGAGGAAGAATACGTCCACCATTCACATATAATTCATCTTGTACTATAACATCTTCTCCTAACACAGAAACATTTTCCATTCTGACCTGCAAATAAATTCAATTCAATCAATTTAGTGGAACGTACTAAGATAAATTATTGTTGTTGCTGTCAAAATGTATGTAAATTATGAGAACAGGATGCAAATGGGAAAACACTAACAACTTGTCAGTTGATACATCTCTCAGCTGTTCTCATGGCATACTTGACTGTTGCCACATTTCACAAAATATATTAGCAATCATTTGAAAACAACAGATGAGGCACAAATATCAGCTAAATGACAGTTTCAAGAAAAAGTAAAAAAATATTAGTTTTGGCGCAGTCCCTCAACTGTTGTTTTGAATTTGAATTCTGATATTATGATTGCCAGTTAATGAGAATGACAACTTCACCACTAATATTTTATAAATTTAATTTTTTTTTTATATTCATTTAATAAAGAAAATTTGTTGGAAATGGTCAGAAAGTTGAAAGATCACAACACTTACCCACTGTCCAACAACACACTTCCATCCAATAATAGATGACTCAATCCAAGCATGGGATTTTATACGAGTTTCTTTCAATACAGTACTGCGCTTAATACATGTACCATCTTCAATTACAACACCTGGACCTATTGTGACATTTGGTCCAATACGACAGTTGGCACCAATCTTGGCACTTGGATCCTGAAATTACAAGCATGTCACATCTATGTCATATCATACAAAAAACAGGAAAAGAAAAAGAAAAAACATAGGAAAAGAAAAAGAGATCTAGTACTAATAATCATATACATGTACATGTAATTTACATGTGCCGCACCATATTCTATAGTGATTTCAATAAAACATTTAGCATACAACACAAGTGCCATACTTGTATTACAAGGTATATAATTCCGTCTTTGTTCCTACAGAAAGCCAATTTTCATTATCATGAAAAATTAAATTATTTTTAATAATACTCATGTTAGAGTGATTTGCTATTTATTCGATGGAATGATTTTAGCAAATTTGCTTACTATGGAAGTGAAGCTTTACTATATTACAAATATTATTAATAATGAAAAATTATGAATATTCAAAGTTTGTGAACATTATCTGAGAGTTCTTAAAAGTCATCAAATAAAGAACTCCCACTATATCTTTATATGAACAAAAAGTTTGATACATGCAGTTAAAATAAGTCTTGCATCCTCAACAACTTCAAAAATCTGCTGAATCAACTGGTTATGGAAATGTTAAATGTACTAAAAGATTAAAAAATACTTAAATGTCCAAAAGATAATATCAAAAATTTAATTTATATTGGAAATTAAAATGAAATATCTAAAGATTAGTTAAGACAGAAATGTAAACTTACCACTAACACATTGCCGACAATTCCTGGGCCTTCTGCTAGTTTCTCTGCTGCTGTGTTTCTAAGATGTGTTAAATAAAGGCACATGCCAGTCAAAAAGTCTTTAGGTTGACCAACATCCATCCAGAAACCTGCAAGAGATTCGATCATAATACATACATGGGACAAATATGATTATGACAATAATTCCTATAATAATATGCTTAAAAATTATCGTCACTGTCTGTCCATCATTACCCTAGAACTTTCAAATTACATATTAATTAATGAGTTGTGTGTCAGTCAAATGTCCCTGTGTTCTGGATGGCAAGCCAATGAAATAGCAATCATACTAGAGAAAATTTCTGAAGGATATTAAAGGTGTTTCCAGGTGAATTACAACACAGGTTGGTGGCTGTGGATGCGGACAAGAGGAAGGTGAAAAAAATAGTAAGGAAAGTAGCATTGGTGAGGAGGAATGTGTGGAAATTGAAAGAAGAAGATACCAGAAAGAATTTTGAAGCGAGAGTTGGGGAGCTTGTGGAGACTGATGCATCAGATTTGTGGGGGTGTTTTAAAGAAGGGGTGTTGCAGGCATGCGATGAAGTTTGTGGGAAGAAGAAAGGTAGGAGGGGCAGAGGAGACACAGGCTGGTGGAATGAAGAGGTGAAGGAAGCAATAGCAAGAAAGAAAGATGCATAATGCGAAAAGTGGTACTGAAGAGAATAAGGTTAGGTATAAGAGATTGAAGAAACAAGCAAAGAAAGTGGTGGCAAAGGCCATGAGGGAGGACAATGAGAAGGTGCTGAGTGAGATTAAGGAGAATCCAAACAAGGTGTATAAGATAGTGAAGGCAATGAAAGGGGATGGAAGAGATGTTACAGGGGGAAGATGTATGAGAGGAAGTGATGGCAAGTTGAATTTCTGTGAGAGAGATAGAAGTAAAGTCTGGAAAGAACATATGGAAAAAATCATGAATGAGGAGAATGAGTGGGATCAGGATGTGGAGGCTGATCTGGTGGAAGGGCCAGTTGAAAGAGTGAGTCGAGAAGAAGTAGTGAAGGCAATCAGAGACATGAAAACTGGAAAGGCTGCTGGACCCTCGGAAGTGAGCGCGGAGATGATTTTTGCAAGTGGAGACATAGGGATTGGTGTGATAATGGAGTTATGCCAGAGAGTGTTAGATGGAAGAGGAGTGAGTGTGGTAGTACCAATTTTTAAAGGAAAAAGGGATGCAAAGAGTTGTGGTGCGTATAGGGGTGTGAAACTATTAGAGCATGCAATGAAAATTGTGGAGAGGGTGATAGTGAATAGAATCCGGAAATTAGTGGAAGTGGATGAGATGCAGTTTGGTTT